AGCTTCCCTCTCTAGGTCCTCCAATAGAGAGGCTAGAACAAGGGTACCCTTTTTTCGGTAGTCTATTTTAGTGGGGGAACCCTCCCCTAAAAAAGAAACGGTAAAAGGGCACTACTGGGGGACCTAGCTCTGCAAACAATCCCAGGTACCAAATGGTTGGGTCGCTTCGCGTGAGGCTTCGAGTAGTTCGGCTCTTTGTCTTCAGGGCATTGACTCTAAGGTTTCACTCGCGAGATTTTGGAGTGCGCTTCTGTTTCCAAGCAAGGGTGTCTGTGTGTGTGCAGGTCCACAAATCCGTGGTTGCAACGTCCAAAAGAGAGAGAGAAGGAGAGAAAGAGGAAGACTACAGTAAATTTGAACAAATAGCAACAATATCTGGGAGACACGCTCATCACCTTTACATATCAACAGCCCATTTATCCGCATCCTAGAATCAGAAGCCTTCCATCTGTCAAAGAGTTGCAACACAGGGATGGATCCCATGTGTATGCTGTCTCACTTCATTTGTTAACTCCTGGGAACCACAATTTGCTGGGACGACATTGGCACGGCTACTTAGGCAACCGTGCATCTGCAAAACGTGACGGCAGACTGGCCAGGATTTGGAGTAGGTGTGGAATTTGTTGGCCTTCAGTTTTGGCTCCCCCTACTAGTTCTTGGCCCGACCTGTCTATTTGCAAGCGGTTCAGTTGCTTCCAGTTGAATTAAATGAGTCACTATATAAGTTGAGCTCTGCATCTGAATAGCCCATACGTTTAGATAGTGTCTGCTGCTGGAGCATTTGCATGAATAGCTCCATAACGCTAAGCAATCTTGTGTGTTGGTAAATCAGTGTTAACTACTTATTCCCTGTATCTCTGCCGCTGGCACATTGGTTGCTGCTGTGCCTTCACCTTTCATAGCACACGTTGGATGAAGAATGGCAACAAGGGCTTCGGCTGCACTGGGCCTACAGTTCCAACAAGCATATTGTTGCATGCTGAATCCGCTGAGAGCAGTCTCCTTTTGACCTCCAGGATGAGTCATTTCAGAAACACCTCTTTGAAGCTGCAAGTGTTTTCTTTACAGCAGTTTAAGTTTAAGTGAATGAGTCGCTGCATAAGTTGAATGGCGCATAAGTTTAGCTAAATGTTGCTGCTTGGGTGTTTGGATGAGGCCCTTTATACTGGCAAGCATACTCAGCTAGTTGTAGATTAGAAACACGTGGTTCATGAAATTGTCGTCATAGCGGTGCATGGAAAAAGAGGTGCGCATGAAGTGACATTCACGCGAACTGCCATAAATCGGGCGGTGACATAGTTGAACAGCTTAAGTGGCATGATGTGCTAATTGGTGCAAGTCATTTCTCAACTGCTTCTTGTTCTAAGCAGATTGCTTACACGCCAGCGACAGGAAGCTGTCTGGATCATCGCCATGCTTTTCACCCAGAAGAGGTGTTCTTAGAGTTGGCTTTGCCAATGGCTGCAAATACAAACAATGTTGCCTGACCAAAACTGACATGCAAGCTGCAACTACGGATGTTGTAAGATTGTTGTGCAATGTTGTTGATCAAGATGGGATGGACTTTCTAGTTAAAGCCCAGCCTGAGCTCGTTGCATGAAGCTGTCTCGCCGTAAGATAAGTGAGTGCATAGGCTGTATATCCAGCCCCCCACACACACACACACACACACTCACACACACACACACACACACACCCACCCACCCACCCACCCACCCGCCCACCCACCCACCCACCCACCCACCCACCCACCCACCCACCCACGCACCCACACACACACACATACATGCACACATACTGCAATGCCCCTACATGAGAATGTGCTGCTGCTTTATTATCGCGCCCAAAACTTGCTTCTGCATTTGGGGATTGCTGTGTGCATTATGGGAGGGTTGACACATTTTGTGTGTGTGTGCTTTTACTGCAGAAGCATTTTCTATACTAAGCTATTTGACATCTTGTTCACTCAGGAACGCGACAGTTGCTTGATGTGTGCATGTCATTGGGCAACTGCCTCGTTGCAGCTTGCACGTCTCATCTCTTTAGAATCACCATGTCTACAAGAGTGGGGTTACAGGATTTTTTGATATTCTGTCAGAAACACTTTGCATTGTCCTTCTCAATAGCTATAAACACCTGTAAAACCCGGGCACCGGGTTGAGGCGTCCCTGTTAGGGATGCAAGGCAAACCAAAGGGAAACCCCCAATCCCCTCAACCCCATTCACACGACGTTGCAAAGAAACTGAACGCGACTCATTCTGTGGCGATAGCTCGAAGTCCGCCCCTGCTCAAGATAGCCAATCTTGCAGCAAAACTTGGACTGGGGTACACAGAAAATCATGTTCGGATGTTGCTTCATATTTAGCCCTATAAAGTAGTTTTGGCGGAGACCTCATAAAACTAATCTGATGACTGATACGCTTGAGAATGAAATAGCTCTATTGAACGGAACCGATTCCTGTTTTGAGACAAACTGACACAAGTTATAAAAAGGCTTTGCAATATCCTTGGGAAATGAAGGTGCAATCTAAATCAGGCCGAGAACCCCCCAAAGCTGGTTGTAACCCCATGTCATCTTTGCAATTCAGAGTAAGTAAATACTGACTGTTGCTCACATGGCTCTGTGTCAGCATAGGGGGACCAACTGTTACTTTGTTCTTGTTTCAATCGACAACCTTAAACCTGGAAGACGGCGCAAACATATTAATCCTTGTGTAAAAAAATCGACCGTACCTTTTCAACCGTCATGCCAACCTGAAAGGCGGAAATGACACCAAGCCTCGAAACTAACAACCTCAAGTAGAAGGCAGGCAGGGATCCAATTGAGCAAACCCGATATTAAATCCGGTTGTTTCTTAGGGGAACCGGACTTAAGTTATGTTTCTGCAGTTTGCTCAAATGGAAACCTGAATGGCATCCCTGGCAAGCAGAGATATCTCGATCGCCCGATGGCGCAGGATTTCAAATATTTCTGAAATCGGAGATTCGGGGCTGATCACTGAAGACCGAAGTGCATTGCTCCCATGTTCACGACTTGGGGAACGACTTGGGTATGTCTCAAAATAGGGGGACACCCAAAGTGAACGAAGATGAAACGGGTACCAAGCCTCGAAAACATTTTTCGCTCTTCAAGATCTGCCAAATTGAAGAATGTCAAGTGCGCCCATGATTCATCCACAATAAGATGGCCTGGATTTATGACTCGTCCAACACTTTCTCACGGAGAATCATAAGTTGAACAGCCATCAACATCCTGAGCAACCGAACAAGAGCGACGATAGTTCATGACACAAGCCAAATCTTGGGCCAACCTTTTTGTCCAAATCTGAAAGCAGGTTTCAGAGAATGCACGTGCCCTCTTTCTAACGCGCATGGAAGCGGGCAGAGTGGTTTTGGAAGACCACCATCCTGTTCACAGTTGCTGGGAAAAGGATCATGTGGTGAACATCATTCTAGGCGTTGATTACCCATTCTCTTCAACCATCGTTCTGTTCAAAAACCAGCTGTCTCGCCTGGGTGTTTGATTGTTAAAAGACGGATCCCTGCAAACACCAACCACTTTTCAGGTGGCTCCCTAGCCAAAGCGTACACCGCTGGAGTTGCCTCCAGGATGGCCCAATCTTTAATTTTGCGTGTGTGTGCGTGTTGAGAGTGCCCTGTTTCACCTTGGTTGAAAAGGAAACCCAAAGGAAGATGGCCATCCGTTCGGGGTCCAACATCTCTATGTTGACACATGTCACATACTCAGTTCACACCCTTGCTTCGACAGACTATCGCTCTCAAGGCTCTGGACGTTTGTAGAAGTCTGCTAAAATTTACCACCTTTAATCCAATACGTATTCAGAGCTATAGCAAGGGAAGCCACGGGAGGATTTTGGGCCTTGATTGTGCTTCCTGGCCCTAACAAGTCTAATAAGTCGCTGTTTGGGCTGCAAAGGCCTGAACCAGTCTATGATTCAAGCGGAACAACGCACCCACATTTGTTTGGGTTGAATCCAATTGTACCTTGAAAACGTCAAGCACATAGGTGTCCTTTTCATTAAATAGACGGTCCTGGTAAATGGACTTTACACAATGGCAAAAAAATGTCAAAACCAGCGCCATCTATTTCTAATCAAACCAACCTGAAAAGGACAGCTACGATCAAGCACCTGTCATTAGAGTCAAACCTCGGTGTCTAGCTGGCACGTGGCAGTTGTGTTCGCCTCTGTTGACAGGCAATCCGCACAATCTGCCCAGAAGCGTGCCAGTAGATACAGTTTGTGCATTGCTGACTCAAACATCTCTCGGGTAGTTACGCACCCCCACACCCTTGACTTCATCAATCATGCTTCAGACATTGAGACGTAGTCGATCATCCCAAACGATTTCCTTGCAAGCAAAGAACCCTCTTAAGAGGGCTTTGTCCGCACGTTCAAAGGCCAAGGACTCATGTTGGGTTGCTGTTTATTGAATCAATCTCTGTCACACACACACACACACGCACGTCACACGCGCACGTCACACACGCACGTCACACACACAAAACAACAATAAACGCACTCATCAATAGTTGTATGATGCAACAAGTGGTCCCACCCTTGCATTGGAAGCCCTACTGGTGACGGGTTGATACCAATATCACTAGTGCGCCAGTATAAGAGCCTACGAATTGCAGGGCCGCACAATATTATTGTGACATAGCTTTGAGACTGTGTAAGGGTTCTGCTGATGACACAAACCCTCACACACATATGTTAATACGCTGTGAATGGCAGTTGGCTATTCTGGACCACTCAGGGTTTCGCCTCTGTACTGCAGCTGAAATCAGCTGAGTAGCTGACCATGTTACTTACTATGTGTTCATTTAGGTCCTTTTTAGGTAGGGCCCCTGGTTGTGTTGGGAAAACAATTTTATCGCAGCACCCTTTCATGTCCCCCAATCAACCATCTTCCACACTATCTTAACTCCAGATTGGCTCTAGCCACAGATCCAGATTGCCTCGCCAGAAAACGCCGTTCATGGCATCAGCGACATCAGTGAGGTCGTGGACCTTGTCGGTAGGCAGTGCCTGGCAATGGGATACATTGGTATTAATTTTAATGAGGAGGGACCCTTTGGTGGACATCATTTAGGTGGGGACTCATGTCCCACAATGACTTTTGAGGGTGTATGGCCACATTGGCGCCAGAAGCAAACCAAACACATGTCCGAAAGAGGCTCCAGAAAAACCAGCCAGGCAGCGCGGTGTCTTTTGTGGGGAAATAGATTGGAACCGGAGTCATGAGACCAATGGCCTGAAAAAGGGGGTGTAAATTGAGTATGCGACAATGGATCAAAATAGGGACCCCCAAACAGATAGTGTTCCCCCTGGCTTCCCTTTAAATCCAGGTGAAAAGCGAGCCACCGGAGCCACACCCATAGCGGTCAGCTGCAAGTTCATTGATTTGATGCTGCGAAAAAGATCAAACCCCTATATGGTGTTGACCCCAGGAATTGGACCGCAGGTTTCAGTCCTTGTTTCCATTTACTACGGTAAGCCGTTTTGGGGGGAGCCACCTATTCTTGACCCACACCCACATGATCGCTTTGCAAGTAAAAAGTTCCAAGTGCATTCCCAGAGACGACTCAAGCCTTTCAGGACTTCTGGCAAGAATCAGTCTTGGGCCCTTTTAAATTTGGTTACAACCAGCCATGCTGAAAGGTTGCATCCAAAACCAGCTAGTTCTAGAGTGAGTTTTTAGCTGACTCGCATGCCTCCTTTAAGGGACCCTTGAGAATCCAACGCTTGCAAACAGATGGGGGTGTCTAAAATCCGGATTCGGCTCGCATGGGCCATCCAATCCTCTAGCATTCCGGCTAATAGGGTCGTCAACTCCAACACAAATACAATTTCTGCGAAGCCACAACGCCTGGCGCTCTGAGCCATCACATTTTATGAGCTTCAATGTATAATATGTATCTATATATATAGTGTATATATATATAGTATAGTGTATTATATACACGGAAAACACAAACACCTGCCAAGAAATCATAGTTCGCAAACCCCATTGTGAAGTTGACGCAGAGAGACCCTGATATCGGCCAACTGTGGTGAACATGGTACATTATCTGGTGGTCGTTCTGCTGGTGCGATGAAACTGGGATCTGATCAGGGAAAGGAAACTATGATATCTCGCGACAAGGAGAAAGAGTGAATCAATTGTTCAATTGTGTCGCGCCTGCTGCTGTAGTCGTGCTCAGTTGCGCGGACCTGAGCAAAGCTTGGGCTGAACTTCAACCCCAACAAAGTGCTACCTCCTGATGACACATATGAAACATGATTGTCTAACAAAATCAAGGATTACAGAGTCTGCCAAACTGAGCTGTCAAGTTCCAAATGTGAGGATGAGGTATGAAATACGTCTTCTCTTCTCGCTGCAATATTTTCTTGTGATTCCGACGCAGCGTCTGAAACAAATTATTACTTGTCAACGCTGCAATGAGACAGCCACATTTTGCAGCCAACTGCTGCTCGCCCCTTGTCAATCAACCGCACCAGCAGCCACAAGGCGACTCACCCCCCCCCCACGGTGCGAAACATCCATCTGCGAGAAATGTTTGGCTTTCAACTGGTCACCAGTTCCATGGCAATGTGACTGTGCCCTTCTTGATGCTTGGCAAGCGCAGACAAATTGAAGCAACCAACTCAATGATTGAGTATGACAGGGTATGAACTTTAACTGGAGACCCTTCAATGGACGTCAGTTCGGCGGGATTTGTATCCACCAACCACATGCCAGCTTGCTGCCGGGTGACATACTTGTACTGCCCACCAGACTTGCCCATTCGGTGGAGAGTATCCTCCTGGCACGCAAACCATGCGGTTACAAAATGGAGTACGGCAACCACAAATGGTGTTGGAGCAGGAACAAGTTTCGGAAAAGCGGCTGTGACCAGCAGTTCAGCTACTGCTTGCTCTCTTCTGCTGAGGCACTCTGGATTTGTGAAGCCCAAGCTGTAGAAGCCTGACAACATGCTTTTCAATCAAAGTAGATGCCCAAGCAGATTCACATAGCAAACGTCCTTACTTCAGAAAACGTATTTTAGATACGACGTAGAATGCTGTGAGTCGATACTGCCCTTGGGGGCGCGGTCACGCCGAAGGAAAAAAGGCAAACGCCCGTCACGGAGGGTAGACGGGACCCGAGCCATGCAAACCATAAGAGGGCGGCGAATCACAAGCCAAAGGCCCCAAAGGCAAAGCTCCGCCCAACAGCATCAAGTGATTGTGCTGGTGACCGCGGAGGTAACTGCATTTGCGCCGTTCTGGCAAGTCAACTGTTCCCACGATCCACTTCTTTATGGTATTCTAAAACTGCCTCACGCCTCGCGCAGCCTTTCTCTGCCGCTCATGGGCGAAGGGTCCCACCCCGAGGGACGGAGCACCCCGGCCTGAAATCGAGGGACATTTCTGGGGGCCAGGCAAAATTGCCATCCGGGCTGGCACCGAGCTGTCCCCCAAACGAAAGCTTTCTGTTGGCCGACATGCGAATGCTGAACTCCCAAAATTGATTTGGAGCCAGAGCGCGAGGGCCAGAGGAGGGCCATGATCCTCAACGGTCTGTCATGAATAGTCACTAGGCTGCAATGGCTCCACCTGCGGAATCAGTTTCGCTGTACCTTCCTTTTCCATTTTCAGGGATTCCGAACCCTCTTCGAACAATGGGCAGCAAAATGCCCTGGCAAACTGGGCGGTTTCGAATCATGGGGCCGCTCAGCTCTGGCAAAATTGGTGGTTTCTAAAGAGAACGATGGGTGAGTGGGGAATCCACCCTTAGAATAGGACAATTTGTGCCCATTTTGCCCATGTCGCTCAAGGCATTGCTCCTCGTCAACTGTCATGCGGCCACCAGCCAGAAAAATGCCCTCATCCTCCTCGCATCGCCACTTCTTGGAATTGGGGGTCCTCCAACATGGTTACCCTCTTTCCAACATGGAAGTGGACAGGGAGGTTTCGCAAAATGACATACTCTTCCAAACCTTCCTTTCCACCTCCACGATTGTGAGAAAAAAAGGTACTCTCCTATTATTTCCCTTGTACGGCTGACAAAAAAAGAGGGCAAGCCCCAACAAAAAAAAAGCACACCCATGCGATTCGTTTTAGCACTGGTTGGCCGAAACCCTCATTAAAGATCTGATAAGAGAGGCGTGACCACGCCTGGTGCAAACCGGGTGTTTGGGCGTTGCCATGTCACTCGAGGATATAATCTGGGTGAACCGTTCCATGGGTTCTAACACATAAGGATGCTACACTTGCAATTGTCCTTTGGTGCAAGCTGGAACTTGTTTTCCCAGAACAATCCCTCACTCCAACCTCAACATAGCAAGCTAGCAAGCTAGGCTACGCTATGCATAGTACAACTATCACTACACTCTGACAATACGGTGTCCCACCTGGTCCTTACTAACTAAGCACCAAAGCGCCTAGCATGACCAATAGAACGGTTCGCAACTGAGCATCAGCAAGGTGTCATTTGCATGTGTTTAGCATATGCCACAGCCTGGCAGGGCAATTAAAAAAGCAGACAGTTTGGCATACCTAAGAGGAACCCTATAGTGGCACACGGTTGCAAAAACCAAACATGGCCATCCTGCAATCTTAAGGCAATGGCTGAGTTGGCCCAATGCCCAAGCGAAGGTGAAAGCCAAACAGCCACGGGGCTCGCGGATTTTATGCGGGGAAAACCGTGTTTTTTGGGAATTTCGAGTTGGGTCATTACCAGCGTGCTAAGCATGTATGTATATTTCAAGGTTGTTACGCTAAACGAAACTTGGTCCACCTATCAAATGTGGTTGTGCCTTCTTTGAGGGTACAGCCTTTTGTGGTTTTGCGGGAAAACCAAAAACATAAGACCGAAAGAAATCCATTGCAGCGGTCCAACTCCTAAAAAAGACGAGCCCATTTTCAGACAAGGCGCAATGATCAAGGCCGACGTGCCCTGGGTAGTCTTCACCATGTCCCCTTGGACCACGAAGCCTTGCAACCATCCTGCAAGCTGAGGGCACCCGACAAAAGCTGACACACCTGTATGGGTGGCTCGTCTTTCTTTGGGGTACCATTTGTTGGTGGTTCTTCAGAGACAACAAAAGGAAACCCACCATTTTGGAGGGTCCCCTAAAAAAGGACACACCTATACAATGCTTGCGCATCTTTGGGGCTGAAAACAATCTGACATGATCGGACCGTGTCTCAAGTCGAAGGGCGGACCCAGGCGAAAGTGGTCGGTCTGACCGACTTTTGTCTTAAAAAGACTCGTTGGACCGAACTGTTTCCAAGCAGAGCTAGAGGCCGTGACGCTCGGAATCTGCGAATCAATCTCCGGTGTAAAGTAAGCAGCTGAGAAATCATACGTTGCTGTCGTCTTGGCAGTGGGATTTCCCGCGGTTCGGTCCGTTGGCTGTTGAAGTACTGAGTTTGGGAATCGGGAGACAGCAAGCAACACAAAGTCCAAAGAGCGTCTGTGGACGACCAACATGCTCTTCTCTTACGGCGACTTGGCATAATTTGGTTTAGATTCCACAACCACATTCTAAGCATTTATTTGAGTAGTCTCAACCACATAAGAAGTGTTTCTTTGGTCCCTAGTGTTCCGTCACCGGAGCCTTCAATCTCTCAACCGAATTGCGCCTACAATCTTCTGCGGCCCTGCAGCCAGGAGCCAGCAGCCCTGCAACCTGGCTAAGCATCTTGGAAGACTCGTTTGGGAATTTGTCTCTAGGAAAACCTCCAAAATGGGTGGTTTTTGTTTGCTTCGCTTTGAAATGAAACCGACCCCAAAAAATAAGGGGGCCCTCAAAAAACGGACACACCCATGGGTTCTACTATCGATTCCTTCCGGATGCCACACTTTTGCTTCTTCGAGAACATGAACGTTTCCGGAAGAAGAATTGGATGGACCCCAATGACAGTCACCACAATTTGGAAGACCGACCGCGTTTTAGTGGCGGTTGATCCAGAAATTCATCATCAACTGTTGGGGGCAGGGTCCAAATCCGATGTTTG